CCTTTCTCTCTCCTTGAGGTAAACAAATATTAGTAAGGTTGCTCATTTCAAAGCTGTGTTCCAAATATTTTAGGGCAAATAACTATAAATGTTTTCTTTTGGATTTACAGGTGCTGTGTCCGAGATGTGACGTAGGAGCTGGATATCAGAAGTCAAGATCTAAGAAATCAAAAGAAGCTGCACAAATCTGTAAAAAATCTTCAACAAAGCTTGATTCTCTGATTGACGTGGAGAGAGCTCTGTCTGAGAGCAAGGACTCTGCCTCTGCAGTGAGTGTTGCAGAACAATTTCACTTTTTACTACACAAACAAGGATAATTTGCTGCAGTATTCAGGGCAGTAAAATTGTCATTATTGTCATTTTCATAACTGAAAACTGTTCACCTTTTTTCAACGGGTAAAGCTTTTTTTTTTTGCACTCAGCCAGACTATCTTTAAATCTAGCTCTGAGTCAACGTTTAACACTATGGTTTAATTTCTGCCAAACAACAACTTCTAACTTCAATAAGTGTAGGCTACCTTGAGTCTGCTTTTTGAAATGCACTTTGCAGTGTATTAAGATCATAACACGTAATGCAGAGACTCAACATGTAAGAAAATGTCCCTAAATAATATAAATTCCCTCATTACATGACACCTTCACTACATGGCAGGTTTCTCCCACAGTGTTTATGGATACAACATTCCAGGTTATCCTTGGAACTCCTGTCTCTTTGTACTGTCACACAACCAACGGCAAATGTGATTTTTAACCATCATTAAAGGAGAAAACACAATTTAATCAACATTGACTTGTAAACATCTGACAGAAATATTTTAGAAATGCAAAGTCTAATTTTGAAATGAATAATGAAAAGATTGATCTTGTTTTTACTGCGCTGTGCTGTGCTGCTGTTCTGTCTGAGAGACGGATGTATTCTCACTTTAAATCATTTTATTTTTCTCCTTCACAGATGGCCACTCTCGCTGAGGTCCACCAGAGGGAGATGGAAATCTTGATGGCTCTTCGGGTTTCAAATGAGTCCAAGCTTCTTTCTGCTGAGAACTGTTGTGCACATAGTGTTTGTGTTTGCCAAAAGGCCCCTTTGGGTGCCATGGTCCAGTGTGAGCTCTGTCGAGAAGTTTTCCACAGCAGCTGCATTACGACAACCACAGAGCTTGAATACAGCCAAGCCTGGCTCTGCCCGCTTTGCCAGCGGTCGAGGAAACCTCCTCTAGACAAGGTTCTTCCCCTGTTGGCTTCGCTACAAAGGATTCGGGTTCGACTGCCAGAAGGAGATGCGCTGCGGTTCCTCATCGAGAGGACAGTGCAATGGCAGCACAGAGTTCAGCAGGCCTGCTCAGAGGGAGTGCTGGAGAAAGTTTCAAAGACGGTTAGTGGAAAACATGATGAATAAAATGACTCTCAAATTGTCTGATAGCTTTGTTTGTGACGGTATTTAAATGCTGTTTTAGAAATGCTGATCTTTAAAAGAATGCTGAAGCTGACTATTCTTTATTTCAGGGGAAAGTCCGGTCATCTTCTCATCTGCCTCAGGAAAGAAATGGTTCCATTTTTTACACGGAGCAGCAGTGTGTTCCTCTCCAGGGTCTGTTTGAAACCTTAAAACAATTCATATTTATGAATACCTTTTATTTTATTTTTTATTTATCCTCTGAACTTTTTATATTTTTTTTGTCTACCATATTTGTCATAGGCCTCGGTCCTGAGCTGGAGGAGCTGCTTGTGGAGGGTTTCCTCCTGCAGGTCACTTTGCCTGAAACCGAGCAGCTGTACAGATACCTGCTGTACAAACTGGCCCCCCTGCCATCACAAAGCCCCCCCTGTGAGAACGACACAGACGAAGAGCGACAGTCGAATAAAGGGAGCCCCAACCACAAAAAGGTTTCAACAACTCATGTCTTATTTTCTTTCTTGAGGATCATATGCTCAATAACACTTGATATATGGAATCACTGCTCTTCGGTATATTAACTGTTTCTTCCACACAGAATGGAGTCTCAAGTCTTAAAAAAGAGTTGGTGAACGGACAAAGCAAAAGAACCAAGCGGCGAAAGGACAGCTCAGACTCTCAGCACAGCGAGAAGGCCAAGAAGAGCCGCAAGAAGAAGTCAAAGAAAAGCAAAGAGAGGAGTGAAGAAACCAAGAGGACTTGTTCTCCCACACACACAGTGTCAGACCACACTCCTTCAGACTCAGAGGAGGACTTCTCACTGTGTGCTGCACCATGGTGCAGAGAGCCAGAGGGTGACGAGGTGGGTTTTTCTATCACTGCACTATAATCGGGGTTATAATGATTCATTGATGTCTATGTTTAGATTTACAATGTACAGATTATGATGCTGTGAGAGAAATGAAAAAGATTTTTTAGAAAAGTGTCTCCTCTTACTTCCTTTTAGGTAAACTGGGTCCAATGCGACGGCAGCTGCAATCAGTGGTTCCACCAGGTCTGTGTAGGACTATCTGCTGAGCGAGCAGAGAAGGAGGACTATATCTGTATAAGCTGCACACAGCCGGACTATGACCGAGGAGAATGAAGACCAAAAAAGGGACTTTGAAGGACCAGCAGTTTTTGCTGCAGGCCACAGCACTTAAGCCCACACCTGAACTCTGTGGCTCCTCCCCTTTACCTTCTGGCTTGCCCCTAGTGAACATGGTGCTATTTACTGTTATTTCCAGTCTTACAGAAGACTTCTGTCACTGTTTTTCCTAATGGCTGGTTTTCTCAGCCAATCAACTAATCCTGAAACTTTCCAAGACTTGCTGCAGGTGTAAAATATGGCAAACTGTTTAAAGAACAGTGCAGGGATTTTTCAACCAAAAAAAAAAAAAAAAAGTCAATTTGACATCACATTTTAGAACTGCTTTTTTTACATGCATCTGAACAATGTGAAACTTATCTTTCTCTTGTAGAGTAAAATGTATTTATCGAAGCAATAACTGAACTGATTAATTGAGGTTCAGTTTTCACCTGAGCTATATTTGTGTTTAGAAATTCTTTGATAGAAGCAAAAAACTCAGAATTAACTTTATGAATCCTTTGGCATTACACAGTTCAATTAAATATTTGTGAACAGAAATAACTTAATATCGAGAAAGCAACAACTGAACTCTGAATTTAGCTTGACATAACTCATATCCTTTAACACATCACTGACTTTGAAATCAATCATCTGCACTTTCTGCAAACGGTCCTGAAACCGTTATTACTGGCATTGGGTGTGGATAAGGTTTTGTTCACAAACTAAGTTTGAACTGTCTGACATCAAAGGAATGTACATTTTGAGTGGATTTTCCCTTTATGGTTTAGGATGAGAATATCGTGTTGGACTTAGATTTAACACATGCCGTGTGAATTTTGCCTCTGGTATATATGACTTTTTCTGCTCCTTTGGGTAAATAATATAATTCATATGTTGCGGTTTGCATTATAAAATAAAAAAAGTCTCTTCCCATTTGTGTTTGGGATTTGTTTTTGAATTACTTTTCAAATAATTTAACATTTCATCCCCAACATAGAGGGCTGCACGGTTGAAGCTGTCACTGTGGACCGTCACTAACCATGAGCATTTTTTCTTTAATTCTTTCCCTAAAAATCAAAGCATCTCGGACCTGAAGTTTACTCAATAGTTTTCTTCTAACTGGCTGATTTTTTTTTTATATATATATATATATATATAGCAAGTTGACCGCTCCAAAGATACCGTTGTTTACTGAAGATATGGCAGCAATGTACATCCCTGAATGTAACTGCCTCACATTGTTACTTCGTACAACCCTTAATTATTTAAATGTTGGCTTCTATAATGGTGTTTAGAAACAAATATTCCAAAGCTAGGTTACATTTGCTGTTCAGTTTGTGTTGGCAGGATCATTGCAGAAGTCACTCAGCTGTGCATAAGTGAAAGAGTCTCACTTGTGCACACAATGAGTCAGGTTGTGATTTTATTGGTGAAAGGGGAACTGTGAAATTCAAATTGACTTAAGATTAAAAGAAAACCGTGGCAGTTAAAAGTCCTAAGACTGTGTTGGTTAACAATTTAGTATGTATCAGTAAGTACAATTGTTAACATACATTTAAACTAAGAAATACTTTCAGATATATTGTTTCTTCAAGGGGAGAATAAAGGTTACGAGTATATAATTGACTATATTACAAAATGTAAGGTCCCTGAGGTTTTCAACAAACAAATGATGTGTTTTGTGTTACAACCAACCAAAGTGCAGCGTTTGTAAGAAAGTGTTGATGCAAAATGATTCAGAAACTCATTTGGAGTTTCTGAATCATTTTGCATAATGAGTTTTGCATTAGATGTATTAATCAAGTTTTCAGCCATAAAAATTGTCATATGTCTTCAACACGCCGCTACACGAGTCTAGATATCGTTAAAAATGCCTTTAGAAATATTGACGGTGCATCTCTTTTACCCACATGGATTTTAACCGTGATTGGTTAATAACTTAGCTTAAATTATCCTGCTGGAACAGATTTGAATGCAAAATGTCTTAGTTGTCCCAAAATAGACTCACTTTCTTTTAACATGAGTAGCTTTAAATGTAGACCTACTCATAGAAGCAAATAGAAATGAAGCAATTTCACACCCTGAACAGCCTCACCATTCACCAGCTGCAGCTTCTGTCAAGTTGTAACTTAGATTCAACAAGTTGTCTACTCTACATTATCTGTTATCTTTTATGAATACATGATAGTGAGAACATATGAAATACATTTTTGGTCAACACTGCCAAATCTTTATTAGTTTTGTATTTGTTAGTTTAATTGATTGTGTGTAAATAATGTATTGAGAAAGTAAAGCTCTAAATGGATTTATTCTTGATTTTGATGAGACTCCATGTGAGTACGACGCACTACAAATTCAACCTAAACTTATTAAACTGTGTTCAGGCTGGTGTGCCTTACAGACTGAACACTGGGGGGGGGAACACTACGTCATGTATTGGGGGCGTGGTCTGTTGTTGGGGGGGCGTGGTCTGCTGTTCACAGTCTCGCCATTTTCCGCCACTTGACGGTAGCTTGCTAGCTAAACAAGCTAGCTGCATCCCAACTCAGCATCACTAGCGTTAAAATAAGTCATATTTAGAATTAAAACTCACATTTAGGACATTGCAGATAATTTAATGTCAATTCCCTCCCGTCGTCATGGACGAGGAATATTACAGCACCGCGGGAGACTGGGAAGGCACGGACGGTAACTTGGTGAGACCTCGACTTGTTGCTGTTTGTCTTCTGCACACACAGAGTTAGCTGTGCTGCTTTACCTCAGCTACATGAGCTGCTCCTTTTCATCTGACAACACACTTTGAACGCGTAGCTAAGACGGGTGTGAAGTGCAGAGATAGATGTGTCTGCAAAGCTGTAATTAGAGAGGTGTGTGTTGCTTTGTAGCCATTAGCCAGCTACATGCTAATAGGTAGACGTCCAGGTAAAAGCGGCACAATGACAGTAACTTGGCTCACCTTAATTTACTAATGAAGGTTTTATTCTCAGTCATCACCTTTTATTTTGGTTTTATTTATTACATTGAATGCTTAAAAAAGTGCAGTAGACTGTTCACATTCAAAACATATATCTAAATGTAATGTTGTTTTTATTTTTATTTTATATTTCTGCAATATTTTACATTTCATACTGTGCAATATTTATTTTATATTTCTACAATATTTTACATTTCATACTGTGCAATATTTATTTTATATTTCTACAATATTTTACATTTCATACTGTGCAATATTTATTTTATATTTCTACAATATTTTACATTTCATACTGTGCAATATTTATTTTATATCATTTTGTTGTACAATGACAATAAAGACATGCTCACACTGTTTTAATTTTTAACAACAAAAAGGCAGAAAAGTCTTTTTAATTGTCTACTTATGTAATGTCTCTACAGACGTTTGGTTAATTAAAACTCAGGCAAAAATCTTTCATCTACATTTAATATACTTAAATTTACTGATGAAGACTGATGAAGATTTAATGACATACTTTAACCTAAACATGCAGGTTTCAGGTTTAAAGATCTCATTAACATAAAGAATGACTACTTTACTGTGGCAGTAGTTACTATTCCTAATGCAAACATAAATCAAAGGCATTATAAATATTTGTCTCTCAGGAGGATTATGTGGAAGGGGAAAATGACGGAAAAACACAGGAAGATTGTCTGCAGAAATTCTCCAGCCGGGATTACATCATGGAGCCAGCCATCTTTAACACCCTCAAAACGTAAGCAGCTGTTGTTTCAATCAAAATTAATATTAAAATTAATACACACAAGTGAGAACAATATTTTCCCGCAGGTATTTCCAGGCAGGTGGCTCTCCAGAACACGTCATCCAGCTTCTCTCAGAAAACTATTCTGCTGTGGCTCAGACTGTCAATCTGCTGGCAGAGTGGCTGATCCAGATGGGTATGTAAAATAATGTATATTATAACAGCTGTCTTTTGTGGGATCCATTCTAACTACTCATTCAAAAAAAACATCTTGATTGCAGGTGTAGAGCCTGCTCAGGTCCAAGAAAGAGTAGAGAATCATCTCAAGAGTCTCCTCATAAAGCATTTTGACCCTCAGAAAGCAGACTCCATCTTTACAGTTGAGGGAGAGGTGAGAGCTCTGAACACTGAGTTGTAATTTTACCTTTTTTTTTTTTTTTTTTACGGAATCACAGTGATCCAGTCTCTTCTGTGTGTTTTCAGACTCCTGCCTGGCTGGAGCAGATGATAGCACACACTACGTGGAGAGATCTTTTCTATAAGCTGGCAGAGGCTCACCCAGACTGCCTGATGCTCAACTTCACTGTAAAGGTACACAGCAGCACTAGTAATTGTACTAGCACTTGTAATTCAGTTCCTAACCCAGGATTAAGACATGTTATTATGATTGAGCCTGGAGAGAGTCAATTTGAAGTATTTGAAGTCATCAGAACATGATTTCTTGTTTGTATTGATGTTAAAGTCAACAGCAATACAATATGAATCATTATCCATCAATCCTGTTCTGGCCCTGGGTCACAGTGAATAATAATTATTAACATAATGACTATAATTGTTATTGTTTTTATTGGGAATTTCTTATAGTTTGTGTAAAGGGAGTTTTTGATTTTATTTACCTTCCTAACCACATACATGAAACAAACTTCAGGGCTGAAACAACAAACAGCAAATTTATTATAATCTTTTATTTTTTTATTTTTTTATGATACAAATTCATGACATGGTTTTGGTTATTCATTTTAACATCTTGACAAAAAATTGATTAATTAATTAATTAAAATCAAATGTAATTCAATTCAATAACAGACTGATATGAAGACCTTTCAATGTCCCTTTTTGTGTTTTGTGAAGTTGAGCATGTCTTTGTGTTATTTTTCACATTATAGTGCCTGAAAGACAGAAAGTTATTATTTATGTCTTTACGTTATTTATGGGCCCATCTATATACTCTGTGTGTGTTGTTTTTAGCTCATTTCAGATGCAGGTTATCAGGGTGAGATCACCAGTGTGTCTACAGCGTGTCAGCAGCTGGAGGTTTTCTCTCGGGTGCTGAGGACGTCTTTGGCCACGCTGCTGGATGGAGGAGAAGAGAACCTGGAGAAGAATCTGCCAGAATTTGCTGTGAGCTTTTCTTTTCCATAAACCATAGTCCTTTGATAGTCCTGCTTTAATCACATTCTGCCAGGACCAGTACTTCGTTGTTTTTTTAGCAGGTTTGATGATGTACCTTTGTACTCTGATGCTCCTTTAATACATGGTTGACAATTTCAAAACATTACAGTAGTGCTGACGAATCAATTGAAGGGTAAGTCTCTTGGAAAATAAATCTATTTTGGTAATAAATTCATCTTATTGTAATTGATTTTGAAGCAACACTTGCAGTCAGTGATTGATCCTGACATTTGGTGAATTGCATATTGTCCTTGTTTTCAATAGCAAGCTGTGTTATATTTCTGTCCCTCTGTTTGCTGATTGTTGAGTTCTTTAGCTGAGTGGTTTTCTTCTGTCTCCTGCAGAAGATGGTGTGTCACGGTGAGCATACATACCTCTTTGCCCAGGCAATGATGTCCATCCTCGCTCAGGAGGAACAGGGCGGATCAGCAGTTCGGAGGATCGGCCAGGAGGTGCAGAAGTCAGCGCATCAGAGGTAACTTTTGTCTCTATGTAATACAATTCAACCACAACACCCCCCTAGCCTTTTAGGGGCAAAGTTAAAAGAGTGGTTAGACTTTTAACAGGCCGCAGGACTTAAAGTTAGCTTTTCTGTATGAAAAACAAACTACTGATTTTTTTCCTCTGTGGTTGGGATTCATAACACAGAGGCCATGATGCCAGTCAGATAACATTAGCCCTCGGCACTGCAGCCGCCTACCCTCGAGCCTGCCAGGCACTGGGTGCCATGTTGTCCAAAGGAGCCCTGAACCCTGCAGATATCACCGTTCTGTTCAAGATGTTCAGCAGCATGGACCCGCCTCCTGTAGAGCTGGTGAGGAAATAATATCATCAACCCTGTTAAGTTTCTACACATGCAAGTTAAGATGCAGTCAACTGAAATATTTTCTTCTTTTTTTTTTGTCTTAAGATCCGAGTGCCAGCATTTCTGGATCTGTTCATGCAGTCACTGTTTAAACCAGGATCAAAGATCAACCAAGACCATAAACACAAATACATCCACATCCTGGCCTATGCAGCGAGTGTGGTTGAGACCTGGAAAAAGGTACACAGGAGAAAGGGAAACACTTACTGATGATGTAATAACATCTGGAAAACTGATTAAATTGTGACATAAGCTAGAGTATATTAATAACATCGCATCATTTATGTTTGATTTGTGTTAATTGCTGCTTCCTAAACTCTTTTAACACGTTATTTTTCTTACTGTTTCCAGAATAAGCGAGTAAACATCAATAAAGATGAGCTGAAGTCGACCTCCAAAGCCATAGAGACAGTTCACAATCTGTGCTGCAACGAGAACAAAGGAGCCACAGAGCTGGTGGCCGAACTCGGCACTCTGTACCAGTGCATCAGGTGAATGATTAAGTTTTTTCATTGTTGTCAAATGGAAAACATTTAATCATGTAATTAAATGTCACTTAAAGATCGTCCAAGCCCTGTGCATACTATTTCAAATTTTCTGATACCCAGACTGATATGATAGAGCTTAGATTCCAATACTGAAACTTTCCTTTTACAATTCTTTACTCTAAGTATTTACATGTTTGCTTTAATTCATTTTCCAGACATAATACTTAATCAATGAGAAAAATGTAAACATACAGTATCTAGAAATCAATCCGCTGTACAGACCTAAATAAAAGTCTGAAGTTGATTCATGAGAGGGACAGAAACATGGTTCAAATCAGGATACACGTTCTCTTTTTAAAGATTGAAAACTAAACTTCATGTGAGGAGTTGTTCTACCTGGTGTTGACACTTTTTTTTGGTTGTTCTCAAAAAGAACTGAGGCGTCCAGCCACTTGAAATGATCCCTCCTTGCTGCCTTCTTGTTTGTGTTCAGGTTCCCGGTCGTTGCGATGGGCGTTTTGAAATGGGTGGACTGGACAGTGTCTGAACCGCGGTATTTCCAGCTGCAGACTGACCACACTCCTGTACATTTAGCTCTACTGGATGAGGTATGGCATGATTATCTGGGGGGGGGGGGGATATTTTATTGTTTTATGAACCAGCAGCTAAAATCAAAAATAATTTCTGCACACAGATCTGTACGTGTCACCAGCTGCTGCACCCGCAGGTCCTCCAGCTGCTCATCAAGCTGTTTGAGACGGAGCACTCTCAGCTGGACGTTATGGAACAGGTCTGTGTGTTTGTGTGTGTCCTTCTAAGTTGTGTTTGTTGTAAGTGTGTGACCTCTCAGCTGACAGAGTGGTGGTTTTTCTTCCCTCTTAGCTGGAGCTGAAAAAGACTCTGCTTGACAGGATGGTTCATCTGCTGAGTCGTGGCTACGTGCTGCCAGTAGTCGGTTACATTCGCAGATGTCTGGAGAAACTCAACACAGACATCTCCCTCATCAGATATTTTGTCACTGAGGTAACAGAAGATTCTTATCTTAAGTGGTGAAGCGATAAATCATGAAAAAGGAAGTGACTCTGGTTGGACTGTGTCTTTCTCAGTCACTGAAGACAGTCTGTAGGCCTAAAAACACTGCTTCAGTAGGAATCTTAAAATGTAACATGAATACATTTAGGGATATTCATAAAGTGGAACAAGGTTTTTTTATTGTTCACAAAAACTAGTAAAATAAAAAGAAACATGACTGTCAAAAACATTTTCATTAACTGAAATAAAAATGGTTTAAAGTGAATTAACTCTAATATTTGTCTTTCTAGGTGCTGGATGTGATTGCACCGCCCTACACATCAGACTTTGTTCAGCTCTTCCTGCCCATCCTAGAGAACGACAGCATCGCAGGAACCATCCGCACAGAGGGGGAGCACGATCCAGTCGCAGAGTTCATTGGTAAGGGATGTACTTATATCTTAGGCCTGAACCCTTTTCTACACTGATGGAGAAAAAAAATCAAGTTTCAGGTTAATGGAAATCCATGTACATGTAAGAGCTTTGAAAAAAAACAACAAAGGGAGAGATTTAGGGGTGTGAACAAACACAGGAAGAGTTTGTCCCATCATCTCTTCATTACACTAATATGTTGGTCTTTATTTCTCTCTCTTCCAGCTCATTGCAAGTCAAACTTCATCATGATAAACTAAAGTGGAGAGACCACTGAAATGTTGTTGGGGATTGTACCAAGAAGACCCAAGAGCGACAGCAGATACGTTATCTCCATGGTAACTTGATTGTTCTGCACCATGTTGGAGCACACAGCTCTAAGACTTGACTCTTAAGTTTGACAAAGTGAACGATTAGTTTCAAGGAAAAGGAAAATGTCAGCGAGCTGAAGGAAGAAAACTGAGGCTGGAGCCTCTGAAGAAGCAGCTAAATGTTTCCCTTTTTTTCACCTGTATATTTAATTTTTCTATATTCTATGTTGGTTTAAACTGTTTTAAAGCAACTTTTGATGTATTTTTTATTCTTGATGGCATTAAAAAAATACAGAAATAAAAGAGAGAAGACATCAAGTTCCAGTTCCAGGACTGCAAGCAGCCAGATGAACAAATTCATGTTAACTTATAAACTAGTTTTTTAAGTTAACATTAAGAGCAGATAAACTCTCTGATTTGTCCTCAAGACTTCACACATGGAATCAAAACATTCAGAGTCATTTAATTTCAGTTGTATCAAGTGTGGACAGTTAAATGCTACATGTATCAGTGAATAATGAAGACAGACCTCACATTAAGGGTATTTTTTGCATGAGAGATTGCGAAGAATCATAACAAACATTTCACGAGGGGCAGGTTGAGAGATTTCTAGAGGCTGTGTAACACAGCAATTCCAAACATCATTTTTCCTCAAGGTTGCATGTGAGAATGAAAAGGTCTGACTCGGTTGATTACCCAGAATTTTGCAGCGCTGTGGTCCAGAGTCTGTGTAATATCTAATCGAGCCAACATGACTGGTGTAGAGAATTCACAGTGAGAAGTTTCTTAGACACAAGTTTTAAAAACAGAAGAACACAGAGGGTGAAGAAGTGTCATTAACATAAATACACTTACTATAATGAGAAACTGTCACCATAGGAACATATGAGCCAGAAAATTAACTTTTACTGCCAATTAGTAGAACAGAGTGACATCAGGGGGCGATTTTGTGAGGAGAAACACTTCAAGTGTTTTTATTAAAGTTTGAAAACAGATGAACATTTTTGCACAGTGAATGATGTGTAGATTGTTCATTTTAAAAACAGTAAATTGATAAAAGATATGCTCGAGTGAAAGTCATATAAGGCACACTTAAAGTCGATTATTTTCAAATCCTTGATCCCAGCGTAGCGCAAAACTTAAAACATTTGCATAATGCACTGAAAACATCCAGTCTCCTTCAGTGCAGAAAAAATGATAGTATCATCTAAACACTGTTCTTTGGATGAGTCTATTCATTGAAAAATAAACTATACAAACTACTAAAACCTCTTTACTCTCTCAATCATATAAAATGAAGCTTTTGCGTTACTCTGTAATTTCTCTTCAGTGCTTGAATAACTGCCACACACAAACTGCTTGATGTGTTTCTCAAACTAAATCATGACGTTCACCAGCTTCAATGTGATACAAATCAGACAACCTGCATTTAATCAAGCAGGTCTAGTATCCAGCTTGAGTGTCCTAAAACCACTCACAAGATCTCTAAAAAAACATCCCATTCCCTTTTTATCATTGTGCATAAAGTTCTCCCTGACAGATATAGGACGACACATGAAGGTGAGCAGCAACACTGTGGGGTGCTGGTCCCTACACGTAGGATTTGGGGACAATTGGGTCTCCGTACATGCAGTCCTCCTCCAACGCCAGGTTGTATTTGCTGCCACTTCCTCCCTTGTAGGCGCTGGTCACGATCCTCAGCCAGCCTTTCTCACCCTGAGAAGAGGGAAATTGGTCATTGATTAATTGTCAAAAAAAAAATCCTTTTAATACTATTTCCACTTTCTCACTGTGGATGATTTTCTAGTTTTCTTTTTTAATACACAGTAAATTAAACCCTTGGTTGACTTCAATCATGGAACCCCTAAAAGGCCTCAATTAGCAAATACAAAAAAATAAAACAAAGAAGGAAAATAAGAACCAAATGACAGGTATATAAATATTGAAAGGCTTAAAACATTTTTTAATACCTTAAAACAAAAAAAATTGAATGAACCCATCCTTAAAAACAGGTACAGACTAAGGTAATACCAGAATAAGGTAAAATAAACACCAAGGAAATGGTGACTAATCGTTGACTAGGCAATCTTTCAGATGACAAATCGTGATTAATATGTTCAACGCAAAATTCAAGATATGCAAAAACTGAATTTTGGAAATGATAATGAAATCTTGTAACATGACAACTAACTTTCACAGGGCTTTAATAAATGTACCAGGGACGTGCAGAGGATTTAAGGGACAGGGGCCCAAATTCACAAAAGGGCATTTTTGTCCAAAATAATAAAAAATGTACATATATATGTCTGAAATTACAACTTTTTGACACTTCAGACATAGAGGTATGTAAAAACAAACCATGACAAAGGGTAGGCTCAAAAGGGGGACAATGTTGTATCATTTAGGGCTTTTGCCCAAATGAGAAAGGAGAGCCAGCTAATTTGGGTGAGGCAATTTGTAAAAATCTGCCAAAAAGATCCCTGTGAAACGAAGAAATGCATCGAATTTAAGGTCTCACCTAGCAAACAGTATCTGGACCGCAAGATTATTTAGAGTGTGACTGTGGTGGAAAAGTTTGTGTCTGACACTGGTTGTCATGGTGTTGTTAAGAAAATAAGAAAATAAATAAAAAGGCACTATAAAAATCATCTTGTGGTTCCAGATAATATTGCTTGCTAGCCAGTTGCCGACACCTAACCGAATAACTGCGGTGGGATTTCCTTTACTGTGTCACGTGCTGATCCCTTTCTCTTTCTTTCTCTCTTCTGTTCATCATCGGCATTACTCTGTCTGTCCGTCTTAATGGTGTGCATTAAAGCACGCCTTGTGATCTCACAGTAATGACACTCTAATTAAGCAGTAGCGCCTGCAATCAGTACTTTCTCTTTAGAGGGCAAAACGAGAGGTGCTCATGCCCCTTTTTTTTGTCTGTGTGCATGTGTCTGAAACTTACCCATGGTTCTCCCCAAGAGTTACGTACAATCCAGTACTCAACGCCGCCCTCGACTCCCCACCCCGCCACTGACACGATGTGGTTGATGCCAGGATCTTCCTGATATTCAGAGTAGATACCTCCAGTGTAGGCATCGAGTTTATCTGTGGCCATGATCCCACAGCTGGAGGAAACAAACACCACATCATGTTAAAAATAATAATAAATACAATTTGGGCCTTAATAATAATAATAATAATAATAATAATAATAATAATAACAAAAGCCTAAATGAAGAATGCAGAAAGCATAAAACTGAAGCAGCTGAGAGGAACTCAATAATCAAATATATTTTTATCATATTATTTTTAAAATGTTATCATGATATGATTATCTGATCCTGTGTTTTCTTCAGTCACATCTTAAAATGTTTTTTTAAGGATTCATATTTCACAGGCTTGTTTAAGTTACGCTGAACCATCGCTGGGGTTCATTTATTTAATGTGCAATTGTCCCAGTATTTTCATCTTAATGCAAAGAACAGTAATGTAACTTAAATCAAATTGTCAGTCTAACATTTGGTTAATGCTTCCTAAGTATATATTTTTTTAAAGGAACTGAGTGGACTGCTTAATGCAGCTGCTCATAAATATGATGCTGACCTGATTGGCCCTCCTTTGTAGAGCTCTGCCATCATCTTCTCCCTCCCACTGATGGAGCCAAAATCTCCCACTTTCCACAAGGTGTAGTTCTTAACAATGTTGCACACTCCAAAGGTGGTGCAGGTGCCACATTCATTGAAAGGCTTGCAGTCTTTAGAGAGAGACACAGAACATGCACAGCTCAAACTCAGACAGTGTGAGTATTACAACAAATATGTTCTTCCCTGAAGGACACACTTACCCTGGTCTTTAGCCTGGTAGTTGTTGCAGGTCTCGTCAGGAATCCCATGTGTGTTAGCGTACTGCCAAACTCCACTGTGATCCCCTCCATGGCAACTGCCGGCATCACCACAGTCGATCACGTGCTGGACGGAGAGATAAGCAGACGGCCATGCTCCTTTGCGCTTAATGTTGATGCGGTCTGATGAGAAAGGGAACGTAAAAAACTATAAATCACAAGACCAGTTGCTGTATTGCTGTGTAAAGAGGAAGTGAAGTTTTAAACAAAAGTCTGAGTGGTCATGTGAGGCACTACTGTTCCACTCCTCATCAAACCTCAGTGACTCAGCAGGTTAAGTTCCCCACTTGTTAACCATTTCTTCATTCATACCTGCCATGGCACTGGTGCTGCCGTGGGCCCAGCAGGAGCCACAGTACTGTGGAATGTGCTGGTTGCGGGTCGTGCTCACATAATTTGCACCATTGATGTTCCTCCAGTCCCAGGATTTTGGCAGATCAGAAATGTTTAGATACTCATGAGGTCGAGGAGCAGTCCTGAAGTCAGACAAGACATCATATGTATTAGTTCTGCTGCAGCAAAAAAACTCAATAACACAAGAAAGTGTGAAGAAGACATCAGCAATGATTAAAAATGGATATTACATTTTTAGCAAAAAATGTCTTAAGATACCAGCTTCTAAAAACAGACATAAAAGATAAAGATAAACTTTATTTATCCCCCATGGGGAGAATTTGTCACAACAGCTCAAGAAACAGGAATATAATTATCAAAAATAAAAATAAGTTAAAAATCGAACATATGTACATCAGTTAAATAAAGGGAGGAAAAATACAAGAATAATATAGAATAATACTAGTTATGTACACTTCCACTTGTGGAAAGAGTTATTATTATTAGAATCACACACAGTGTGTAGCATTATGAGCGAGGTGGTGATGCTAAAGAGTCTAATTTTATATATATATTTTTTCTAATATTAACAGTTAGTGTATTATAAGACTATTTTAAGACAACCTCTCTTATGGTTTTGACTTATGTCCCCCGATTTAAAAATCTTTAAAAATACAAGATAAAAACAACAAAGGAAGATCACACAAATACACATTCAAACACCTTAAGGAACATTTTTGGAGGCCAAATGAAAATAAAAACCAACAACAACCTTTACTATTTGTGACATTGTTAATGTGTTTCTTTCTTTCTCCAAAGCTAAACTAAAACTTATCAAACGGATGCATAAGCTAATGTAAACTTATTGCATAAATAATTGTCAGTATGTCTCCAGAAACACATATGTTTGACATAATTTAATTCACAAGTGGAGTTGTTGTTCCAAAGTTGACAAGAGCATTTGGATATCTGTTAACTGTCCAACACAAGATTTATAAACATTGGAATTGCCTTTACACATTTATTAAAGGTCATAAATATTCATATGACATTTGTATTTATATTGAAAACATTCAACATCCAAAATAAACCCTTACACAGCACTGAAGGAATAATTCAGCATTAGATGATGATTAAACACCAAACGTAGCCAGAAGCCTGTGGCATTGGTCACAATACTTTAATATACTTTATACTCTTTTTGTTTTGTTTTTACAGTTTTTATGACAGAAACTTTTCTGATTTGAAACCTGACCTGTGGAGAAATTAAAAAGCTGATAACTTCCTCAACCACAACAGAACTCGTGATTTAAAGCGATGACGAGCAGATTCAGAGGACACAAGTTTAGCCTAGTTTCGTTTTGTTTGGTAACAAGTATTTTAAAACCAAGTTATACTAAGAAAACAGCGAAACTAAAGCATTGATCTTCTTTGAAATATAAAATACGGTTGCATATAATTTCCACATTTTCTTTCATGCAGAGTAAAAACAATGTATTTCACATAAGGGTTTATTTTCTACACATTTAGATAAACTCTGCTGCACCTCCTCCTAAAAACAAACATCAGCTAACGTTGGCTAGCTAGTTAGCTCAAATGTAAAATTCATCCAGTTCTTCCAGACAGTCTCCGTCAGAACTTTATTTAATAAAAAAAATATATATATATATTCAACTTACTTCAGCCCAACCTCGTTTCTCGTCGGTGAGCGGACATAGCACGGCTGCTTCTGGTTAAAAAACACTCCGGCAAACACACCGGCAAACACACCGGACAACACAGCAAGGACCAAAGCTGACCGAGCCATGTTATCACCCAGCTCAAGACAGTCTGTGGATTTAACAAAAAAGCAGCTTTGACGAGGAAAGACGAGGAGAAATTGAAGGCTGGTGTGGTTTGTATGGACTGCCTTCCCACTGGTATGTCTTTGAGTGAACCAAGTGCTGATAAACCTGGACGTAAACTCCAGTCATGTGACCTGTGTATCACATCCGAGCACACAGACATGTGTACTTCAAGAAGGTCACAAGACCTGATCATTACATCTAAACACAGCGCGCCTAACAAAGACAATCAATTATACAAGGGTTTGAGCTTTACAAGGTTACACATTTACATCTATAACCACCAAACCCTTTTTTTTTTACATCAAATGTAACAAAACACATACATAAAGTCTCTCGTAATGCAAATCAAAGCGCCATTGTTGTAGTTAATCACTATATTCTGTTTAGTTTGCCTGTTTGCCACTGTAGTACCTGCTGAAAAGGGGAAAAATATCCCTTTACTATCTAATAAATGTTATTTTTTTTAACCCTGGCTGTAAAAAGCTGAGCCAACTTTTAACCCCATCGTCACGAGGTGCAATGCAGCTCTGAAAAACTTTGTCTAACATGTCCAAAGTTGCTTTAAGAAAATAAAGATTGAAAATCTACAAATGTCATCTTTGCTGTAAAGTATCAGTAACCCTTTTTTGATGTTGTGTATGACTGAACATGCACAGAGAGATCTAATGGAACTGCCTTTATTGAGACAAAATGATTGTCACGAGGTTGGAAAAATCATCGTTCTTGAGCTGTCCAATACTTACCACCAGGCTTTGTCCTGACAAAACTGTATGGCGCTGCTTATCAATGATTCATCTGACAACATTGTGAAACTGTTAAAAACTGCTGTTAACTGTCATTCTTCAGTTTGATCCAGATGTCACACGATCCAACCATACACAGTGACTACAAATTGCAGTGGTTTACAAAAAAGACACCTCTAATCCTGCTGATCCAGTATATTCTTGAATGGCAGAATACTTGATTTGCAATAATTGTACAACAGCAGCAGCTGATGTAAAATATAAACAATTAAAACTATCACCCATTTTATTTGTGTATCTGTTAATAAGATATGTTTTAGATAGAATAATGCCTCTATAGCAAAAACATCTAAATATGAAAGTAAATTGAGAGCCTTTGTTAAATCAAATCATGTACAACATCTGGTTTACTGATGATTATCCATTTTTATTCACTGAAGTCAAACTTGAACACAGAGGTCACAATTACAATTTCAAATGTTTGGAGCTCTTGCCTCAACAGTGTGGATGTGTGGGGGCAGCGGAGCGTTCAGGGTAAGTAACTGGCATGTTTTAAGCTCTACACCAGCCTTCGTCTCTTGCAGTCACGCTCCATCTGATCTTCAGGTACGTTTGTGGATGCACCCAGAGGAGACACCTGGTTCAGCATGGAGTCATCTGATGCCTGGCCGAACAGGGCCATTAGCAGAGCAACACCAAATCCTGTGGCACGCTCCCCCTGCAGAGACAGTAAAACACAACAAGGGTTAGATTCCAGCATTGTTACTGTAGAGTTAGCCTGCTGTTATCTTTTTATGGCTACCTGTACAGTTCATTTGGAGTGAATGTTACTGAAATACAAGACTTTGTTTGGTCTATAAAACCTAACAAATGTTATTGGGAGTATCATGTGACTAACAGAACGAGGAACAGCTAGCTCTAACCTCCATCACTCTCCACCCTGCCATAGCTGTTGGAGATGGAGAACATTAAATGGAACAGATTAAGGTCCATCAATCCATGTCTACTAAAGCTCGTCACAATTGAAACATGAATTTGGGACAATTTCCATACTTTCAGGTCCAGACATTTAGCAGACGTGTCCTTTTTTTTTTACAAATAATTCAGAGTCTGACACTTGGCCTCATTCAACAACCGCTCTTAAAACACACTTTTTCAAAAATATTCTGGATATTGGTTATTCTGTTTTTCTTAACTTTGTCATCATAACTGACATTAATCTAAGATATGATTTACATGTAGTAAACTTTCATTTTAACCATGAAATGTTCCGTCTAAACTGCAAAATGTTACATTGTGAATATAAACTAAGCACTGACCCTGAGCACTTTTCTAAGAATATTGTGTACCATCAAATCATACAAATATTGAATATAAAGAGATATTGTGCATGTCTCAAAACTCTCTCTCTCTGATTTAAGATCAATTTATTTTATTTCATTTCAGTTAGTGTGCCTCCTTTAACAATGATATAGTTCTCTTACATTTGGGGTAATTACCCATCTTTTTAATAATCTAATTTAATCATTCCCAAATCCCAACATCTGACTACTTTTCTTTTCAATATTGTGTGGCTTCTGCATATAACCATTTCCCTGCTGTCTCATGCCCTTATATGGGCATTAGGAGTTTTTTTAATGCTAAGTCAGAAAAACAGGCATTAGATTTGATCGTAGGAGGACATGGTATTCTTCAATTTAGGAACACCTGTGCAAACAATTGAGCTGTGTGAGAACAGCTTCATGAATCTGCTGCAGGCTTTTCTTAGGATCTTCATAACAACAAATTTCAGAGAAAACTTTGGAAGATACCGGTAAATGAGTCCCAGTGGGTTTGTCAGACTCATCCTCACAATTCAAAATGCCCCCTGTGGTTTAGTTGCAGTGGTGGGGAAAGACTCCCCCTCCTCCTGACTAGAAGAAGTCTGCTTAAACTCTGGGTTAAGGGAGTTTGGTTCACACATTGCAACCCACCCTGACAACCTCAGGAAGTTTTCAGGATTGCAGTGCGTGTGAAAGAGGATAGAGTGTGGTATCAGTCACAGCATGCTTAACATGATTTTAATGAGAGAAATTACTTTTTTTTAGACTTTTATACAGTACCTCTCCATAAAACTTTTTCCCCGATACGTTTATTGATATACTATTTGGATCTTGAATCTGTAATAAAATGGAATTTTCACTTTACCCTTGTATCCTCTCACGGTCTCGCTCTGTCATCCTAACTCAGTGTTTATGCAGATAAAACTTACATCCTGATACTCAAACAGTTACTTTAAAATGATAAAATAACTTTGATTATTATTTATTTATGTATTTTGCAATTTCTTACTACTAGTCTGTCATAAAACACGTCAGGGGTCAACATTAACTTTCAAACAGGTTTTTGTGAATGATTCCTGTTGTCTCCATACTGGCCTGAAGAAATCCCTGTATTTTCTTGTGAATACAATTATCTGGTAGAACAACACAAATCAAGTGACACAATTTAAAATCTTGAAGTAATAATTAAAGTCCGAGCAGAATAAACTATTTCAGAAAATGAACAAGCAAGGAATTTAGACTGAAAAAACAAACAAACAATGAATCCAGGAATATACCATCTTTGGGGTATTTTACCAACAGTTAACTGGAGCTACAAAAGTTAGTTTTTAGTATATTATACGTGCACAGAACAATGACTGTGGAAGGATATTCCCTTGGGGATCTACATCGTTTTTTGGTCAAACCATGATGATATGTTAGGTTTCACAACCTGTTTTTACCAACTTCGTTAAATAAAATCTGCTGACTATCTCTTTTTCATGTTCCTGACTCTCAGAATAGCAAAAATACCGTCAGAAAATGATTTTCATCAAAGCAGAAATACATGTTCCTCAGCTGAACAGGTTAAAAATCAGTATTTAGATACAAATATTTTGTAATTTATGATAATGTAGTCATCATTTACACAGCAGTACACAGGAAGTTCAAATTAAATATGGTGCAAACATCAATCATTTCTTACACCACACTTTCCCTGCACAATCTAATGTGTGAAGACAAGTTCTGCTAGTGGCATTTCTTATCAAGCTAGCTGTGGCAGCATTCAAAAAACAAACAAATGCACCTGTGAAAAAAATATTAACCAAGTGATTTTTATCAGCTTATCTACTCCAGGGTAAAATCAGAACATGAACAGATTGCAGAGTATCTGTACTCACAGCATGGACAGGGGAGGCAATGTCAACATGGACCCACACACCAGGCCAATCGAAGCCCAAGTGGGAACCAATAAACAGGCCGGCACAGGAGCTTTGGGCGTTCTCGCGGTCCTGTTAGAACACACACACAGAAAAAAAGACAATACTAAATAACGCCACAGAATTGCCAGACATTCATACTTAAGATTTCATTTTTATCTAAATCAACACTTTGACAACTTGTGGTTTGACAAGAGAAAAGGAATAACCTACAAGAGCCACCAAATCCATACAATATCATCGTACACATAATGTGTACACTAGTTAATGGTATGTTATTGAAATGTCTGGATAACAACTGATTCTTGTATAAACACAGTTAATGTCAAGATGTAATGTTATACTGATGTGTAAAAGTAGAAGTGTATGAAAGTCTCATGTTTGATTCATCTTCACTCACAGTGTCAATCAGGGTTAACAAGAATCTGCAGGCTTCTGGCCAGTATAGTGTGCAGATGCCCAACAGATACAAAAATGACAGTGATTAGAGAGAGTGAGTCACACGTCAGGCAGAGTGGGGCTGTACACAGAGGCCTACTGAGAGGACTTTTTAGACATTCAACTCTTGTTTTGGTGCCTTTTATTGCTGTTAAATTAAATGTATTCAAAGCATACGACCAGTAGTTGTTCTATGTGATCAGAATTTGGGGATTTTATGTCAAATTGGCCGTCAAAAATAGAGAGTTGGCTGTTTGAGGAGCCTCCAATAGGCTCCTATGTGAACATAGAAACATACCTTAAGGGATACAATCAGCTCATGCTCCTACAAGCATAAAACACAAAACTTTGCCTCCACATTTTACATTTATTTACAAATGTTTGTTTGTCTACTCACAAATGTGCCACATTCCCCTGATCTTTATTTCTCTTTAAAAAAGATTTTATTGAACATGTGGTTCTTCACTTACTGCCACAGAGTTCTTCATGTCAGCCATGGCAGAGGTAAACTCGCTGAAGTGCAACTCGGGGCAGTAGACCAAAGGATGAGCGAGATCTCCGCTGCTGCGGCCGGCGTGCACACACGCAACCTCCCACTGCTCGTTGTTAGTCATCACAGCTGCGTGGTACTTTCCTGTAGAGATCCCCTGACCATAAAGAAACAAAAAAAGGTATTTAGAGACACATAATACCTGTTGG